AAATCTTACTGCCTTTAATGATGGCTTAATGTTTCTTCTGGTGCCATTAACAGACTGAAACTTTTTAAGGACTTTTCTTTTTTTTAAAAATGGATCCAAGTTGAAATTTGACAGAAATTCAACATTTTCAGATGATGAATCTAATTAAAATGTCAATAATTCTGTGGCGTATCTCCTCATTTACTCAATGGACGGGTCTTGTTTGTGCACCAGTTCCATTCAGGACCCACAGAACCAAACCTTTAGCACCAGTTCAGATCAAAGTTAGAGCAGCAGCCACTGCGTCAAAATGTTTTCCGGCAAAAAGACGAGATCGGCATCACAAATCAACCCAACAAGTTCAAATCTTAGAGGCCAAGACCCAGCTGGGTTATTTATGGAGGGAATGCACCTGTGTGATGTAAAAATTAGGGATTGAAACTTTGCACAAGTACTTTAAAAACACAACTTTACCTGACGATAATACGTGTAAATGCTAAAACCCTTCAGTGATATTAATCAAGGAGTTTGTCCAAATCTGGACAATAAAAGTTGGCAAACAAGGCAACACACCGCTTCCACATTTTGCCTGTTTTCAATGGTTTGGTCCGTTCCTGATGCCAACATCGCCACAGTTCCTATTTGGATCCAACTGGTTCTCACTGGGAACTTTTATTTTAGGTTCTAGACCAATTTATGTTTGATCGAAATACCAGAAAAAATGTTCACTGGCCGAAAAGCCCTTAAAGTCAGTCGAATGGGGATTCCCTGATTCTGCAGTTGACCCAATGTGACGTCCATTTTTCACCTCAAACCAACTTTCAAACATTTACATTCACTTAACAGGTTATGGACTGAAATCACAAAGTGGCCTTTACAGCTCGAACTAAGTCATTTTCCACCAATAAGCACTGGACTGATGTTAAATTCCAGCACTAAAAACTCTCAGAACTCTTATGGAATAACTGATAACTTTCACTTCTGAGAAAAGGTCGTGATTAATGTGTACAAGGCTCTGTAGCTCAACCTCCAAACCCAAACTTGTGTTTCTCGAGCAGTTTTTACTGTTAATAGTAAGAGCATTTTATGATATTTTTCACAAATCTGCCAACTAAATCGTTACCAAACAACTTCTTCACCAATATGTTTGTAAAGGTGTAATAACATGCCTTAAAATGTTGAAGTTCAACTCTGGTGGGAAACCCTGAAAAACACCTGCTCAAGTTAGGGTACCGATAAATGATTGACGGAAAATCGATTTTACAATTTCTATGTGATTAATATTTTTTTTTAAAAACAATATTATCAGACCTGGTGAAACTCAAAGATGAACTTAAAACACTGTCTGAATCAGT